ATTAGCCTACATAAAAAAAAAACATGACATCAAGATCTCTGGCCGTGTGAGGGTGACTTTGTCTCTGAGCAATGATGTGCAGCAGATATTTTTGTCATTTTACATATGAGGCCACTTCAGCTGTACCTGTGTTGTTTATTACTTTATTTTTATGTTCTATAAGATGGCATTGTGTATTTGATACTGGAATATCTAACCCCAGATTGTGGACATCATGTAAATATTTGATAATTTATTTAAGTGTTGAAGAATTTAAATTTTCCATTGATGAAATTATGGATTGGATTATATTTTGCAAAATCTATTTCTATATTTTATTGTTCGTGTTGAATATTTTAGTCTACTTAATAGTTAGTGTATAAAAAATTGGTGCACATTAATGTAGTATTAGTAAATAATATGAACACTTTGTTTTATAGTTAAATTTGAAGGTACATTTTTTCAAACTGAGTAGATCTGTTATGCTTGCCTGAGTTGTGTGTCTAATTATATAGGATATACTTAGTGGAAATTATTATAAAGTAGATAGCTGCTCCCCTGAAATTATGATCATAATATCATTAACCCAGTGCCGCTGCGGATGGCATGTATGTATATGCTATGCCCACTGTGAGTTAAGTTTATAAATTGTCTTTACACATAGATGGCTCAACAGTACTAAGTTACCAATGAACCAATTGCAAGTACCACCTATCCCACCTGTTTACACTTTTCCTAGATTTTTGGAAATAGTTTCTGTTAGGCTATATTTCTTTTAGTAATAATTATGTCTATAGTAATAGTAGATAATAATAACAGCATCAATAGTGATAGCATTATTTAAAAAAGAAAGAAAAAAAAATCTAACCAACTCAAGGAAAGGTGAAATCAGGTGAGGTCACAATGTCTGTTAATTAACTCTTTTGTAGCCAAGCATTTTTGAAGCCATCTTTGTGCAGACACATTTCACAAAACAATACTACAGTGAAGGCCGCATTTTCCTGGCAACATAGGGTTTTAGAGAAGGAAAAAGTCTTTCTACCAAGATCTTCCTTTCTTGATTACTTTACCCCCAAGACTTCTCTTAGACTGTCATTTCCTTTACTTGCATTCTCCAGATACACCCAAACTTAATAAAATTTTGTCTTGTGGATATTTGCCAGTTTCTGACACATATACTCACTACTGAAATAGATGAGTTTTTTTGTGTTGTTAGAAAAATATCCACTTAAAACTCTGGCTATCCATTTCTTTATTGTTGAAAGCTGTGTACATAAACTTTTTACCTGGAAGTCAAACCCCTATTCCCTGCTTCATATGCTTATTATATCACTAAATGCAAAATTGCTTAAATATGCAGCTTGATAAATGTACCATACTTCAGAAGATATTTCATCTTTACCTGATTCAGTCATTTCTTTTGGGCCACTTTAAACGTTATAATATTCTGAAAGCCTAAAGCATGCAGTTTTGGATATTAAAGTATACAATAGTATAAAATAATGCATATTAAGGCCAGATAATACTTATAAAGTGAAATAATGGATTCTGATAGATTTCTAGGCCTCTTATAGCTGGGCATGCCTATCGCCATTGTGAAAAACCAACTTATTATGACGGGTATGGCTCTAGGTGTCATGTCTTGCTAAAGTGAGTCCATTGGGAAGTTCCACTATATGCAGCAAACTCCCTGGCCAAAAGGCTATACAATTGCCAGAAGTCACCAGAATGAGTGACACACAAATTCCTGGCATCAGCAATGTAGAGTTAAAGAGAAGGCTTGTGATATAGAAAGGATTGTTAATGCTGGAAATGAGATCAAAACTATTTATAGATATTCTTATCACTGATGTAGCTCAGATTTTGGTAAGATGTAGTTAATGTAACCATAAGTCTTCACTACAATGAGTCTTTTTTTACTGGTAATAATCCTTTAAATGTGTTATTCATAGAGTTAAAGATTACTGTGTGCCGCCCCCTTGGATAGATAATTTTTCATATCTGCAAGACAAGTATTCACTAAGATTCTGATAATACACTTGATACTAATGGCATTACAGAGATAATTTATCTTTATGATTTATTATGCAGCACAAGGTAAACACATTGGATTGGGGAAAATAGAGCATGATATTGTTTTCTTTTGTTTTTCAGTGCATAAAAGAACTTAGTAAGAGATATGAAAAATGTTGTATACTAGTATTGCCAATTATATAATCATATGTGATTTATTTTAATATCAAATGTAAATATTCCTTTGATATGCTGCTATCCTGACTGCTTTGCTATACATTCCATTTCAATATAAGTCACCATCATGCTTTGAAAATACTGAACTTTATAGTGTAAAATGTAATACAAATGGAATGGCAAGAAACTGAAAGAGTGCTTGAACTACTACATATAGCTTAATGCTTTACCAGAATGCAGTCTTGCATATGGCTGCAGGAAGAATGAATGCAATTCTGTAAATGTAAGTGTTAGCTGATGACAACAGTGAACATAATGGACTGTGTCTTCATTTACAGAACTGCAACATATTCCGAGAAGCTCCATTTATTGCAGGGTAAGATTTCAGTGTAATGTAGTGATAATATTTTACCCAACCTTTATTAGACCTAACCTTTCCTGACCTAGAGGCTGCACCTCATACCTGGTCTGTGAAATAACCCAGAGCTAACATACTGGCCAGCATCCCATTGTTCAACTTCTGCTGATTTGATGTACCAATGTCTGTGTACATTAGACAAGGAAATGATCAACATATGTAGAGTGAATGCTGGGCTCTTCACCTGCAATATCTATTGGATGAATTCCTCTCAGAAGTATAAATTTAGAAAAAATTACTTAAAAAAAAAAAATGAAAAATTGTGTGGTTTGATGAATATATACTTACTAGGCCCATTTGTTAAAATCCTTTACTCTTCAATGTTCATACACTTAATGAAGTATCTGCTAATGAAATCTGAATCCCCTTGGTCATAAAAAGCATTTAGACAGCCAACCTTCACTCCAGATCCTAGATCCCTTAATAGGTAACCTGTCTTATCTCCTTGGCTTCACCCCATATGATCCCAGAACAGTAGATTGTTCTATATGCTACCCCTGGTTTAAGCACAGGAGAAAGCACTTGCATTATTTGCCCCCCCCCCCCCCCCCCTTCCATAAAGTCTGCCTCCTTGGGTCGCCAACACAAAAAGGGAAATCATGATAATAATGGCCACTATGTTAATACACACTGTCTGTTTATCCTTAGGTTTAGTACACTGTCATTCACTTACACTTCATGACATAAACTTCTCTTTCCTAGCATCCTGTAGTGCATCCCTTATTAGATTCTGTCATATATCTTGCTTTACTCTCTGTATCTTAGCTCTCTGTTGCTGATATGTAATCCAGGATATATGTTTCTTACTTATATTTTCAGATGACATCAAAGGATTATCATTTTTTTCTGTGTATTGGATTGAATGTGCATCTTTCAGGACATATCAGAAGTTGTTAACTTCGTCACTGCCTTCAGGACATACCAAATTATATTTTTGGTGCAAGCTACAGACTTTTCAGGACTGACTAATTCTCTTCCTGATGCTTCAGACAGTTCCCATGACTTAATGACTATTTTTTGGATGCAGGGATATTTCATCATTACATTAGATTTTGGTGCTGCTTTGTTCTGGGGACCAGTTAAGATATATAAAGGGGATATATATGATAGGGACCTATTGAAGTTTCTAAATTCATCTGCAACAGTTGTCAATTTATTTTCCCCAAGCTCTCAGTGTGTGAAACAGGTTTTGGTCAGTGTTGAGAAGATAGACTTTTTATCATCATTATTTTGGCTGAATTCTATCTAAATATACTGATAAATACTGTGATCTATGATAGTGGCAAAATGGTAAAATAGCCCTTTAGCCTTTGGCAGCAAAGGCCAACGAATATTCATATTGGTTTGAAGGATAAAGTGTGTTTAGATCAAATGTTCTGTGAGAAGTAGCTTTGGAAAAATGTGCAACTGTGATTATTCATCACTATGATATGGAATGCTTAGGACATCTGTTTTTGTTATCTCCTGAGGGTTTGCATATTTGTACAAGAGTCCTGATTTACCTTAATGAGCACCTGTTCAGTATGGATATTAGCAACTTAGAAAAGTTAATAGATAGCTTTTTTCTAGAAACCATTTTAGGAATATGTTGCAAGTAACAAAACTTTGCAATATGTACATGCAAATACACACACATGCACGCACACAGGCACCAACAACACATTCACTCACTCATTGACACACTCACACTCAGTGACTCTCACTGCCTCACTCTAATAGTTACTTTTTTGTATGTGTTTTTACCACAATATTTCCCTAAGGGGATATGTTATACTATGAACCATTTTCTATGTATCTTTTCTTTCTTCACCTTTTCCTTTTTTTTTTTCTCCCACACGACTGATTTATTTCTTCTCGGATTCATCTGCCATTTAAGGTGACAAGAAGAATCATGTATCTGCCCAGTCAGTCTCCCTGTGTGGCAGGTAAGGCAGCAGCAATCTCACTAGGAGGGAGACGGCAAGGATACTCTTTTGACTTTCCTAACACTCATTATAGGAGTAGAAACTCACACAGTGGAAGGGACAGACAGACATGTAGAGTTGTGGTTTTCCTAATGCACGCACTGATGGTTAGATAGCAGGTCTCGCAGGTATTCTCACAGGAGGTATAACATGGTGAAGAGTACTAAGAGAGGCTTGGCAAAGTAAATAACTTTGTTGCATTCATAATAACATGCACTTGGGAGTTTATAGGAGCAGTATACAGAAGGGTGTGTGGTACATATTGGGATTAATATGTAATACTGTTGAATGCTATCCATAATGTTTATTGAATTACATTGGGTATTTTATACATTTTTTATGTGTTTGTGAATGTTTTCTGCAGTTGAAAACTACTTCTTCTTCATTTTTTAACAAACTTCATTGTCACAAATATAGAAAAAGGTATGAATGAGAATAAATAATTTAAC